TCGATGTCGATGGGCCCACCGTCCATCCGGGGAGTCGACATGGTCGCAACATTCCACTGACTGCCATGCGTAGGGTCGCGACGAATCAAAGTGATATGAAAGCCCGGACGTTCGGGCACCACCCTGTCATGCGGCCTCTGGCGAGGTGACTGGCCCGGACTTCTCGCGGGACTCCTCGCGGGGCTCCTAGAGGGCGACCCTAGAAACGAATGCGATGGACTTCCATGAGCGGAATGCGGTCTAACCGGGGGTCGTCTTGAATCCAGACTCGCTCGACCTCCAGACATGGCATCATATTTCTCCTTCCACGTTTCCTGGCCCTTTGCCAGGTACCCCGACAGCGCAGTGCTCCATCGGTTGGCCCTCTTCGCCGGCAGCGGGTCTAGAGGCGGTCCTAACACGGGCTCTTCTCTCGGAACAGCAGGCAATGGCCGCGAAGGGCGCGCAGCCATGGGATCTTCCAGCGGCATGGACTCGAGAACGGGGTCACGATTGACCGGCGCGAAAGGCGGGGTGACAGGGTTGTATTCATTCGCATGAGCAGGGCCCTGGAAACTCGGACGCGGAGGCAGGGCAGGGCGCTGCAGGTCTGGATTCAACGGCGAGGACGCTCCCTGCGACTGCCAGGAAGTCGGGCGAGGGCGCGCAGGAGGAGGTGCGGTCGCATCGACCTTGGGCGCGCTCGCGCCAGGAACAGGCTTGCGCCGGACATTGTTCAGTCGCGCAAACTCGCGCGAAGGCAGAGGAGCCTCCGCCTCGTCTCCAAGGGCTTCTTTCCGCAACCTAGCCTCCTCTTCGCGCTCCTGTTCGTATTCCTGGAGCAAGACATCATCCTCTGGGGTGGCGACGTGCAAATAGTATAGGGAGGAATTGATGGCTTCGGCAGAGACGCTGGACTTGGTAGCGGGTTTCAAGGGGGTGAGGAAGACATCTAAAGGACGGGAGAAAACAAGGGTCAGTTGATCTATCATATGCATGTTTGGTGCCACCGCTTCTGCGGGGCATTCCTGAGCGATCGGAATGGCAGGTGAACGACATACCTCGACTGCCTGGGACCCGCACGATATACAGCACCAACGGATCCAACTTCTTCTGGGTAGGATTGCGCGGGTAGGCGGGGGGATTGGATGCAATTGCGGTGATGGAGGACAGCGAGCGAGCCTCGACGGGGGCTTTGGGGAGACTCGGCGGCGAGGCGGCCATCGGGGCGGAATCCCCATCCCCCGCGGAGTCAACCTTGGTCATGGAGAGAGAGGCGGGGGGAGATGTCACGGGGAGGTGAATGTGAACGGAATTAGAATGGGCATGAGGAGAAGAAGAGCGAGATGGAACCACTGGTGATGTTACAAGGGGAAAAGACCAGAAAGGAAGGGGAAGAAGGAGAGCGGAAGACAAGAAGATCAACGCGGAGAAACCGGAGAGACCGCCAAGACGATCAGCATCGGGCAGCAAGTTCAAGCAGAACAATAGACTGAGGATTGCGAAACAGGTACACCGGGGCGACGGGGAACATCCCCAGTCGCAGGGCCGACGATCTTCAGCGGCGACGCTTCCATTCAAGGGTCCCGAAAATAAGGCTGCCTGCTGAAGGCAAATCGGAACGAGGCAACACCCAATTGGCCCAAATGTCTTAAAACGGTCTACTACGAGGAAAGTCGTACAGACACGAGGAATTGAAGGGATCAAAGTCGAAATGTTCCAGTTGGATTCACTTGCCAAAGGTATCTCGCAAACAAGATAACAAGGTATTCTAGACTACAGGTCCGGTAACTCGTGCAATAGCTGGAGCCGACCACGATGTGTAAATGGTGGGAAAAAAGGAAATAACGAAAGATGAACCCGGTCAAACGATAGGCTACCAATGCTCTGCAGGCTCCCATCCATCCTACCATTGGATCGTAGGGCCGATTATAAGAATAACGAAAACGTGCAAAGGAAGGAAAATGAACTCCGTATGCTCCCAAGTGAACTGTACCCAGACCAGACCAAGATTCCCATATTCCCTAGACAACCGTCTCCGATCGCTCGCCCTCTGCAATGACCGGAACGCTAAGCCCACGCTCAGGACTCTGCAACACCAGCTGCTCGTGACGGCGTGCCCGCAGGAAATCGCTGATAGCTCGAATCAGGATGAACCACCCAACAATCATTAGGACGTATGAAATCCATTCGCTCGTGGTGATAGAGGACACAGCACCGCCTCCACCATCACCACCCGCACCACCATCAACGTTATTCGGATCGAAATTATGGCTGTTCGGGTCCGGTGGTGTTACATAATCGGCGCCTCCTTCATCTGACCCCTTCGACTCACTACCACCTTTCATGTAGAAGCCATACTGCACCAGCGTGAGACCGAGACCAGCCCGGCTGCCGTTCTTGGCTGCGTGCGTTGTGTGAAGCAAGTAGGTCAAGAGGAACCCAACCAACTGGAACGACATAGAGATCATAGCATTCCAGACAAACGAGAAAATCGATCCAACCGGCAGTCCATCCACAAAGACTTCGTCCGAAGAGATACCCGGTGCGAGAATTGTTGTTTCCCAATACGGCGGTGTAGCATCTGCGGCGGCCTCCTCGTAGGACTATAGAACAGCACATAATCAGCAAACATTATTCCATCGCAAATTCCCCCAAGAAATCAACCTACCGGAGGTAAATCCTCATTCTTCTCCCCGCGCTCCGGCTTAGCCGCCAGATTAGCAAAGACACCATCGTTCGACGAACTGATCACCCGGCCCGCTCCCGAACTGGGGGTACTGAAGGACGGCAGAATTGTTTGCCGTCGAGGAAGACCTCCACCGATGCGCGAATCGCCAGACTGTTGCTCTGAGCCGCTTGAAGAAGAAGACGCAGCCGCAGCGGCGCTGCTGGTGTCCGCCACCGGGCGGGAATCCGGCTGAGCCCGCATTAAGCGCTGACGATCGTCGGGCTCGTCATCGGACTCGGAGTCGCTGCCATCACCGAAAGCATCTGCCAGGGTTTGGTCTGCATGGTCTCTTTGGGGATCGTCGTGGAGAAGGCGTCTAGATGATGGGGAGGAGGAACGAGAGTGGAATGAGGGAGGCGGGGAGGAAGGTGTCGGTCGGAGAGGGATAGAGGAGTGTGACTGGAGGGTATCATCGTCGTCTTCATCGCGGGCGTTGACCTATATAGAGACCCATGTATCAGTACTTTCTTTTTCTGACAACCAGATGCCGACCCGACGGCTTCTATCAGGAACGTGGGTGCCTCATACCCGTTGATAACGCTGCGAGCTCATGACGAGCTGAGCGAGCGGGAAACCGGGAAAGAGCGGAGTAAAGGACGGTGGGGACGAAACAAAAGAAATCAACGGCGTCAGAAGTAGATATTAGAGGAGGGACAATAAAAGGAGGCGCAAAGAACGTGGATGGGACTTTGAGGGGGGGGAGTTACAAAGGAGATGGGAAGGAGACGATCAGCTGGAGATGACGAGAGGAGAGAAGTCCAGGTCAGGCAATAAGGCAGCAAGCATCAATCAGCATGCGGTGGCTGAGCCGGATTGCCGCGTCCGGATTGCCGCCGCCCGTGACCGTGACCGCCTTGCCGCCTCAGGCAGTTCCGCTGATTTTCGAGCTGCATCTACATCTACAATCTAGACAGACACCTTGAACAGTATCTCTTAACGCTTTACTCTTTCTCGACCTTCTTAACCTTCGCACTACACTCACACAAATCTCATCCACAGATAGCCTACCATGGCATCCAACACAGTACGTGCACCCTCACCACCCAAACCCAAACTCTCTTCAATCCCACCCTCTTCTGCATCACCAACTAACTCAAAAACACCCACAGCAACGAATTACCACCCTCCTCAAACACTGGCCAACAGATAAAGTGCGACCCTCATCCGTCTCCGTCCAGAACTATCTCCAAGCCTGCCTCCTCCCCTCATCCACCGAACAAACCTCCCAGAAACAGCCCCAACAAGAAGGCCAATTACAGAAAGTCAACATTGACGAGAAATCACTCAACGCGCTATCCTCACTCCTTGAAGACCGGTACGCGAGACGGTACCCCCTGTCGCCGAGGTTGCGCAGACCGGCGAGTAACCCGGATCATTATGACAATGTGATTCGGGAGTTTGATGAGGCGCCGGATAGGGATTGGATGGGGAGGTTGAAGAAGAGGTTGGGTGGGTTGTTGAGGTTGAAATAGGCTGTATATGGAGTTTAGAGGGCGCTTGGGGGAGAGTAAGGGAGAGTGATGGTGGCGACCTTTCTTATGGTGTTGTATTAGTACTATGGGATGGCATGGGAGAAGCTTTGGATTACAAAAATATGGTTCAGGTTCTTGGCTTGTACTTTACGACCTTGTATATATAGTGTAATTTTGGGTTAAGAAATTGGTATCTGTTCAATGGCATTATTTTCGGTTATGGCGTGGCATATATGGTGTTTGGAAAATCAGGTCAGTTGTCGAAATGACAACGCCGGGCTATACAGAACTGCAGTGATTATCATGTCAATCTGATCTACAGCATCGGCTTGACATCATCAGCCACCTTGAAGGGTGCCTCCGTCTTGCTCCGCACCTCATCCACGGTGACTCCATCGGCCAGCTCAACCAGTGTCAGTCCATCTGTGAAGTCGACGTCGAACACGCAGAGCTCAGTGATGATCCGGCTGACGCAAGTCTTTCCGGTCAAGGGGAATTCGCACTGCTTCACGATCTTAGGGCCGCCCTTCTTATCCGTGTGCTCCATGGTCACCACCACCTTGGTGGCGGAGGGGTTCGATACGAGGTCCATAGCACCACCGAAGCCCTTGATCTTGCCAGGCAGCATCCCTAACAAACTTCGTCAGCCAGACAATCTTCAGAACGCATTGTATAAGTTCCACTTACAGTTTGCCAAGTCACCCCGGGCACTGACTTGCATCGCGCCCAAAATAGTCAGATCGATCCGTCCCGAACGGATCATACCGAAGGATTCATCACTACCGAAGCAAGCAGCTCCAGGCAGCAGTGTGACCGTCTCCTTGCCAGCATTGATGAGATCGGCGTCCTCCTGTCCCTTCTGAGGGTAAGGACCCAGACCCAGGATGCCGTTCTCAGACTGCAGCATGACTTCCACAGAGGGATCGACAAAGTTAGGCGCCAGCATGGGCATGCCAATGCCCAAGTTCGCATACATCCCGTTCTTGAACTCCTTCGCCGCACGACGAACGATACGCTCGCGCTTAGCAGCAGTATCACCCTTACCCAGGGCAGCTGCCTCCTCGCCCTCTTCCTTGGCGAAAGTATACTTCTCAATGTTCTTGGGGGCTGTGCTCTGAATCACCCTCTTGACATAGATACCCGGCAGATGAATAGCAGCGGGCTCAATCTCGCCCGGCTCAACAATGTGCTCCGCCTCGACGATCGTCATCTTCGCATTGCGGCCCATGGCACCATTGAAGTTAGCCGCAGAATAGCGGAACTGGCAGTTGCCCAACTTATCGGCCTTCCAGGCCTTCACAAACGCATAGTCACCCTTGATCGCTTCCTCCATGACGTAGCTCTTCTTATCAAAGACCTTAACATCCCTGGGCTCACTGTAGAGCGCAACAGTCCCATCAGAGTTATGCTTCAGAGGCAACTCGCCCGTCTGCACAACGGTACCACAGGCTGCAGGGGTATAGAAAGCCGGGATGCCCGCACCACCGGCACGACAACGTTCCGCCAAGGTACCCTGGGGGGTCAACTCGAGCTCAATCTCTCCAGTCAGGTACATGCGCTCGAAAGTCTTGTTCTCGCCCACATAACTAGCAATCATCTTCTTGATCTGCTTGGACTGGAGAAGGAGACCGAGACCCGCTCCGTCCACACCGGCGTTGTTACTGACAACTGTCAATCCCGTGATGGAGGGATTGGCGCGCACCGCGCTGATCAGGGTGTCTGGAACACCGGAGAGACCGAAGCCACCAGCCAATAGTGTCGAGTTGGACTTCATGTCTTTGATTGCGAGGTCTGCGGAGGAGACAACCTTGTTGATTTCGGGTCGTCGAATACTGCTGGAGAAAGCACGTGCGAGAAATCGTTGGTGCTGGAACAAGTGCGTTTGTCAGTACCATCATTCCCACGTAAATACAGGACATATGGAATCCTTACCTTGCTAGGATCAGCGGAGAACTGCCGCGCAAGGCGCAGACATGTCGCCACTTGTGACGGCATGATGGACCTCGAGTAGATGTATATATGTATACAGTTTCAATTAGTTACAATGGCGATCAAATTGCGCGAGGGCCGTTGGGGTCCAGAGCTGACAATCACCCCCCGAGATACAAAACTGAAGAATGAAGGTATTAGAGGAACATGAAGGAAGCGGAGAAGGGCAGGTTATATGAGGAATGGATAAGGACGGCCACATGCGGAGTTGCGGAACACCAGCCGCCATGCCGCCTTCCCCGGAATTCTCCCCGCACTTGTGCTGCCAACACACATGACTTGTACTAAGGATATTGGACCCTTTGACTTAGCCTATTTCGCGCACCTCAATGATGGGAATGTATATATTTAATCTCTACGAACTAGTAAACCTCATTTGCCTGCGTCTGTGAAGGTCTTCTAGTGCAATGGCCTCAGTCCCATGTATGTACATGCGACCGTCAGCCAGCCTGCAGGGCAGCTCCTCCCCCACTTATGCTGCCGACTGTCGTTCCGATCCCGATCCGCGGCCCGCTTCGGACCCGCCGCCGATGTCATGACTAAACTGACTGTCACTGTAACAAGAGATAGATAGATTGGGTTGTTTCTATCTGAAAGGGACGCACGGCAGCAAATGGCATGGTACATTATCATCAAATATCATGATGGAGGACATCACCTGCTATGTACAGGAAATCATGACAACATCTCCGCTAGCGCATGCACAAAGGATATCGTCAGAAAAGTTACACGCCCGCACAAATCAAACGGAACAGCAATATCATCACAAGAATAGCCCGTATTCTCGCAGTCTTCCCCGCCTCATATCATCCAACTCTATAGTCTTCGCTCGATCATGATGGCCAATCCTGCATTCTACCGCTACAGCTGTATAGTAGGCGTTCCCTAGAAGTCCGGACCTAGTATGGATTCAGCCTCCTTCATCGCCCAGGCCCTTGCGTTTAAGGGGGTTCATTGTCGAGTCTCGGACCGGCGGCTTGACCTCTGCGCCTACCACCTCACATGATCTAAGTCAGTGCTTGTCTTCGGTGGCCAACCCCAAGCAGTCTTGCCGTGTCCCGCATTGGCATCGTCTTTAGCCTCCGTCATGGGGTGATCGACTACCGTACCTGATCCGCTCTGGTCCGTCCAGATCTCGTCGTACGCTGGTGGATTCATGTCCATATCTTCATTGGTATTCGCCGTGGAAGCTTCCAAGATTTCCCTGCAGACCGGGTTGGCGAGCCGATCCTTCATCGCGTCGTTGACGTATACCAGGAAGTATGGCGTGGGCGGGTTGGGCTGTCCCTCGTCCTTGAAGATCTCGTCCAGGTTGTTTACTTCGGTGACATAGTTGTCATTGTATTTTCTCCAGACGTTCCGTTCGAAGTCGAAGATGTAAATGTAGTAATGGCCGAAGGAAACGGACCCGTGGTGGACGAACACGGCATACAGGCGATAGGCGAGGTACTTGTAGTCGGCGAACTGAGCGGAGATCTTGTCCTGGGTCTCCTGGATTTGGTTTTCGACATCTGTCTCAGGTCAGCGCCCACGTACCAGAGGCCGAATCTTGGGAAGCGAGGACGTACAGTTCAAGTCAGCCTTTGCGATTTGAGAAAGCTGATCAACCTCGGTGATTATTTGCGTGTCAAAGTCAATCGCGTCCTCTGCATAATCGGGCTCTTCTCTCATAGCTGCCAAATCTTCGAGTACTTCCTTAGCGCTGTTGAGTAATCCCGCCGTATCCATGCCGTCGGAATCCTAGAATAAGAATTAGATGTCTGGGCTCACAACGAACGATGCGGTCGCAACCTACCACTTGGCGCAGTAACTCCGCGCGGCGCACCTCGAGCTCTCTGAGCGAATTTTTCCATTGCCAGCACTGCTGTCGCCGGTCCAGGAACTGGGGTTGTTGCGAGTCCATGTATCGGTCGAGATAAATCGTCTCCTTCAATCCAAGATGGTGAGTGGATTTAAAAGAGCGCTTCGTCGTGGGGTCAAACTGGACACGCTGAACCTGGATCTGAAGCACTGGCGGGAGCTTGCTGATAGCACCATACTGCTCAGCCACCGAGTTCTCCACATTCACCTTCTGTACGTCAAAGGCACCGTCAATGGCTGCATAAATGTCGCGCGGGCCAGTTGCAACATCGATTTTGATGTCACACCACCACTCTTCTTTCGACCGGACGCCTTTTTCTGAGGCAATATAAGATCGGGTTCGGCCGTAAAAAAGACTACAGACAAGGCGTCAGTCTTGAAATAATCGTGCCCAAAAGGCTCCTAACTTACTCTTTCACTTGATCAATTTGCTCACCCTCCGGAGAATGAGCAATGGGCCGAATCGCACATTGGCTTTGGAAAAGCACGTTGTTGATGACTTCCGTCACATCCTGCTGCGCTCCGATCTCTACCTCTTCTATAAGCTGCTTCTGGGGGTCAACTTGCGGGGTGGGCCGCGGAGGCACTGGCGGTGGTCGATTGGAAGGTTCGACATTGTCTATGGGTGTTGTATCGCCGGGGGACCCTATGTCAGCGGAATCAGAACTTGGCTCATTCTGCACGTCATTCAGGTCCAGATCAGCCGGTGGCTCGTTCTCTTTATCGTCAACCGGGGGAGCTTTGATGTCATTCTTGACACCATCAGAGACAAGTGTGGCCTCGCTATCGACATCGCTAACTGTTGAGCGCTTAATCACCTCGCTTTCGGTAACCGCCTGGTTCTCCGTCTCATTCTCTACTTGCTTCTCCGGAATCGGTTGCGGCGGCCCAAGAGGTCCTAGTACCGGCATGCCGTTGATTTCACCTAAGGCACCGGCGGGCCTGTACGCGGAGATTGTAGACCGACGACGTATCGCTGCTTCGTTGGAAGGACTGATCAATGTCAACCGCGCCAACTCCCGGCCCGGCGTGACATGAGAGGATGGGGAAGTAATCATGTCGGAAAAGAGCGTCCGTAATTCTCTGAGAACTATATAGAATCAGCGTTAGCTATGCGGTAAATCAAGTGAAATACTGCTACTTACACCTTTGTGAACGTTCCACCTCCTTCTTGGAAACCTTGCGAGATCCCACCTGTTTCTTGCTCAGGCTCTCATCAGTCAACTCCATCTTGAAGCTCTCAAAATCCAAGACCATCTCCCTGTACGGGCGCACAGAGAAATAGAATTGTAGTAGACTATTGAGATAGCATGTGTTGCCAATGTTCTGCAATCCAACAGGCCAATCCGACATATTACGGTCCGGCTTTGTATCATCACCAGAGACCATACTGCTTAGCAGAGTGCTATTCTTGTCTTTAGCAATTATACGCAAGGCTTGGTTGTACGTTTCAGCCTGTCCCGGAGCTTCGTCGACGCAAATCGTATAAGCTGCCATGATTGCTGCTTCATCAACCGTACGATCGGGGATTTGAAGAAGCCGGTAGGCATCCCCGATATCCATCTCACCGGCCGTCATCTCGCCAGTCCTGACGAAGTGTCGAAGAGCATCCGATTTCCGCGCCTCCGCAATGAATTCAACGGCGCGGCGCGCGAGATCCCTGCTCGATGGAGTGTCATTGACCTAGAAAGAACATTAGCGCACATCTACACAAACTCATAATCGGCAGCGCTGTACCTTAGCTGTATACATGGCCATAATAAAGTCGTCGCTTGTTTCCTCGCTGACGCCAAGGTAAACTTGGGCTTGCTCAACAGTTGCCACTCCTTTACCCTGTTAGCTGCGGACTTCAAACGCTCGTCGTAAGGAGATCTCACTATCTTCAGCCGCTGACTTAATGCGCTCACTACGCCTGCTGTCGCCTATCTTCCACAGTTCTCTGCGTGAGTCTGTCTCCTGAGTGGTGGAGCTCAAGTAAGCATGGAAGGTCCCAATGATGCTGTCCTCAGTAAGCCGCGGGTCGTCGTGTGTTAAACCGAAGTACTTGTAAGCATTGATGACGTCGTCATCAGTGTACTTGCCGTCGGCATAAGCCACCTGAACTGCTTGATCAATGGCGTCAGCTTCGTAGCCCCCTCTAAGGCTACCTATCGCCTTGAGGCATTTCAGGTATGTAGGCATGCGACCAGGGTCTACGGCGACCTGGCGATTGAACGCCTCAATAATCAATTGCGCAGACATATCTTCCACGACGCCCAGATCTTCATAGTAACTACACCTGCGTCAGTCCACGTCAATAGGTCAAGCTTGTATAGTACGTACGGAGCAGGGGGCATTTCAAATGTGTCGACATTGAGAGCCTTCTGGTCTTAAAGAAGCTTGGTAAGCATGCAGCCTCCGAAAGAGTGATTATTTGACCTACAGTCTAATGCTTCCAGAGCATTCAAGAGGTCATCCCTTGCTATCTTGTTTGAGAAATCCACCTGATGGCCTTTCTTCTCAAGCACTGGCCGCTGCTCGATGAGTACAGCAAGCTCATGTAGAACATCATCGAGGAAGATTTTGAGTTGATCCTGGTAGGGGATTTCCGCCCAGGCGTTGGGGCGCGGGGGCTCCCAAAAACCTTCATTCTATATAGAGTTAGGCCATGATATTGCAGCAATCGGCAGACATGTACAGACCTTGACGGAGAACCCCAAAAATTCTAACAGGTCTTTGCAAGGCTTCCCTTCAACACCGAAGCACGTTATGAACCTCTTGTTAATCGCTGATATAGATTTATTCTGTTGACTGGGATTAAAGGCATTGCTGATATATGCGTGCAAGTTTTCCAAGACATTGATGGGCTGCGGCCGGGCTATCCCTTCCAGGCGCTCGGGGTGTGTTTGAATCGCCTCATCTGCTCGCTGCTGCAGCAACTCAGGATCTGTCAAGAGTTGTACCCATTCTGGATGGAGCACAGGAGAGACAATTCTGACGGACACTGCCGCTGGACAAGTGAGGTAGGAGCAGTCATAATGGAATGTCTCCGCCACCTGGCCCTTGGGTGTGATTTCTTCTGCCGATGCACCTCCTCTCTGCCTCCCTGACTTATAAACCAGATGGTGTATGTGTCCCGGCAAACTCTGGCTGCCGATCCCAGGTGTCGATGTCACGACCAGCTGTAGATGGTATCGGCACTTGGAGCATATCGCTGATACTTTGGTGGGGTTGCCTGAGCTGCTTCTCTGCTCTGGTTTTGGTAGGAAGCTCTGTTTCGACTTGATCACATAAGTATGACGGCATGCTGAAGGCGATATGAACTCTGATGGTCCAATATAGTGATCGGGGAAGACCGGGGGGACCTCCGACAGCAGGTTGCGGCCGGAGCCTGGAGGATGGACAGGGTCATAGTCGTGGATATCTTGCACAAGACGTGGGGCAGTCTTGCCTAGAAGACGAAGAAACCATCATCAGTTCAGATGCGCATTCACTGCAGATACTCCGGACTCTGAAAAAGTGATCCGGACTCAAGGGGACTGTGATGCATACCAGGCTTCAGCGGAGACGACATGAGTAGGCTCTTATGAGCTCACAGTTGTCGGCGAACCTTAGCAAAGGAACTCTAAAGCTATCTGTGAGGTTATTCACATAAAGTCCGTAATTTAAACAAAGGATAACGACGCGACTCTCTTGCAGGGATGATCCACGTTATCGTATTGAACACATTCGATTCTATTGGAAACAGAAAGCTGGACCGTTAGATCGTCTCAACAGCGGGGAGTCACCGCAGCAAGTGAGGCAGAGCAGGCGGCAAGTTCCCAGCGAACGACCTGCCACTCTCAACGCGAACAGCTTTAGAAACACCAAAAGACGACCACCGAGCGTGCAGGAGGTGATAGAGAGCGATGCCCGCACGCCAAGGGAGAAAATCGAGAGTTTTGGGCATAGATCAGATGCTCTGGTCAAACGGACTGGGAAAGCTGGGAACCTGGGGAAGGCGGTCTGGTGGGGCAGAAAGCGCGAGGTCCCAAATTCATCGAATCTCATCTCCGTTCGGACGACATTCGAGAGTGCCAGCCACAGCTTAATCCCCAGCTCCTCAACCGCCACCATGGCTCCGCACCACGAAGAGCACTACCATCCCAAGGATGCGATCGCGGCATCGATGAAGACCACTATGCTCACTGGTGGAGCGGGTCTTTTCGCCTCGGCCGTCCAGAACACCCTCACCAGACAGAACGTCGGCCCGCTGGGCGTGTTCATCCGGAGCGGTGGTACCGTCGGTATCTTCGGTATGAATGCAATTGTGGACGCTTGGGCAATATGTCTTGGATTTAGTCGGTTGCTAACGATTTTCGCGTCCAGCCGCCATGGGAGGTACCTACGAATTCGTGAAGACCGCATCCGCCAACCTTCGTGAGAAGGAAGACCACTGGAACGTCGCTCTGGGAGGTTTCTTCTCCGGCGCCATCCTGGGTCTCCGAGGTCTGTTGCCCGCGATCCGACCGTTCAATTGATCAAGCATTGGTTCTGACAGGTCCGCAGCTCGCACATTCCCCGCCCTCCTGGGCTACGGCGTCGCTTTGGCCACCGCCACGGGCGCTTTCGAATACACCGGTGGAACGTTGTTCGGCTACAAGAAGAACACCGATATCGACGAGTTTGAGCGTCGGGAGCAGCTTCGGAAGACATACAGAATTCCCGCAGAGCAGACCCTTGCCGAATTGGGCGAGGGACGAGGTACGTTTACTTCTGGAGGCAGATTTCCGTCTGCTGGAAGGGAACCCACGACGTTGCTAACCCGGTTACACAGGTATTTATGGCCCCGGATACGCCGAGAGACGGGCGGAGAGAATCAAGGAGGCATACGGTATCGAGGTTCCCACAACGGCTCCGGCATCATGAACATGGTTTTGTTAGATATCTCTCCTGCGCAGTCCCTCAATTCTCAGTCTCGTTGTGTAAAACTACTACATCTTTCTTATTTTCAGTCGATGCCGTTCAGCTAGCCGACATGGCACCTCCACCAATGAAGATTTCATTTCCTGTTCTATCATAAGAGAAGTACTACATGTGGCACCGACCGGCTACAATTTCCGAAAATAGATATAGCGCTTAGCTACCTCTACATAGCATCAATGCGTGATCTGTTCACCGAGAGCAGCCAAGCTGTAAGAGGCGAGGGGTAGCATAGCATAGCATAGCAGAGACAGCTCAGGTGCCCGGTCAGTAGACAGGACTTCAGCTAACACTCAAACTATCATTAATACAACTTGTTCACCGCAGGGGCGATATGCAAGTTTGCTTTTTCTCATCCTACGCTTCACTGCCCTGGAAAAGGTTCCATGGGATCGGTAAGTAAGACGAACAGCACAAGCAGGTGACAGTGACACCGCCGATAACTTGATACCACCAGCGCAGCACAAACACCGGCTGGCTGCTGGGATCGATTGCGGCGAAGGCGGGGAGGGCAGCTGAACCCGCCAGTCTGTCAGCCAATCACGCGGCCGGCTTATCCAATCCCAGCCAAAAAGGATGTGGCCGTTCTGTCACACGAAATATGAAGTGAACTTCTCACTGTCCTCTCCCTGCACTACGTAGATAGATATCATGTAGCAAGATGATGTTTCAAGTTTGGTTTGGTGGGCAGGTCAACAAACAAGTACCAAGTAAGGTAAAGACAACCTGCAGTACAGCCGCGGACATGAGACTGGTGATATGGTGCTGGGGGAGAAAGGGTGAGTAGTGGTGAGTCTGTCAATCTATTGACATTGATACAAGGGGTGTGCACGATAATCAAATGCAGGGGAAAATATGATATCACCTTTCCCCCGGGGAGGGAGGGAACCAAACATCCCCCTTTGAAGGTTTGAACCAGCCGGAGTTCATCGGATCAGCAACTGGGATATGGTTTGAAGTTCCGTCAATGAATGTTCATTGGATAGCTTGATAGAAAGTGATGGATAAGAACTAGTACTAAGGTGGCAGAAATAGTCTGTTTGCCATTACTGATCAATTGCTCGCTATGCATTATACATTTACCCAGTACGTAGTATGTGCATATGTAAGTAAGTGCTGGCTTATGAAGTAGACTACTGCCAAGTACTAAATCTGGACCAGCCGTCGACCCTACTACTCCCTATTCTCATCACTGCAGATTACACTCGCACAATCTAGTACTTCTACAGTAGTGAGCTACGTCAAGTAGATTGATATGGAGAATGCCGGTGGTGGGCTCATGATTGCGTTAGAAGTACATTTAAAGGATTTAAGTTCGACGCTTACAACATGAATACCTGAGCCACAGCAGTTCAGCTGAGTAGGAAAGTAAGCGAGTTACAGAGGCAAGGTGTGTGTATCCATACAAAGTACTGCAACAAGAAAAGAAAATCCCATGTCGAACCCCATCGCCAGGAAAATCCATCCGGATCGACATGAACATGATGAACCGTGCATGACGTCGAGGGGTCAAAGTTGGTGTCGGACTTTCTGGTTTGCTGCCTTGACGATACCCAAAAGGGGAAGACAAGAACCACGACGATCGGCCCGACAGCCTCCTTTTTCCCTTTCTCTACGTGCAGTTCGTGAGTGGAGGGAGGGAAGGACAGTTGCCACCGTGTTGGGGCAAGGCAGGAGGGGGATGGGAACCTAGGGAAGGGAAAAGGGGGAACTCCATCGAAGCCATGAAGAACGATTGCGCGCCGGCGCTAGAAAAGCCAACCTCCCGATGAGCGGGCTGGTGGAGAGGGTTACAATGTTACTTTGTAACTATGTGGATGAATTGATTTTGAGATTACTGCCAATTCCGCTTAGATGAGTATGTATTGGGGAAACTGATTGGCCCAGCGGACAATCCCCGGCCAAGCAATTTGCCCATTCAGCCAGTCAGATGCAAGCATAGCCACACCCACCAGCCTTGCTTGCCCAGAAGAGGTAAGTGCAGACCGAACAAGCCACTCCTTCAGTCCGGCCTTGAATTAATCTGCCATTCAGTGAGTGTTAGTGGTGCTGCGCGGTAGGTTCACTGTCTTTCTCAAACAGCAAGGATGAAAGGCAGAATGATTTCGCTGGGGGGGGAGGAACTCAACAATAGTTCACGAGTCGATTACTACTCGCTTACTACTGGGGACCCTTATGATTATTTTGAACTGGATACGAACTGTGATGATGTTGGCGGAGGGGAAGTGATGACGATGACTTGCCAGCTTCGCCTCTCCTGAACAAGGGAACAGGCAACGGCATTAACCCACTTCCATTCCCCAGCACTACTAACAGTGTCTATCTGTGTGTCTGGTCTTGTCTGCCTGCCTGTGTGTTCCTTAGGAGCAGATCCTTTTTTATTAATATTTATTCTCTTCATTTCCGTGGAGAAGTTATTTTTATACTATTCTGAAAGTCGAATCTAATTAGCGACGAATGCGGTATCATTCGTGGTCCTTTTCTGGAAAAGGAGACCATTCCGATCGACCACGATCACAAGCAAACTATCTACAACTATCCACTTCGCGAATCTCAGCTGTGATTGCATGACTCTTTGTGTGTATGTGTGTGTCTGGCTGGTTCTAGTTCAGGATCTGGTGAAGTCAAGTCGGGCCCGGGGATTCCGTTCCAACCTTTGGGCGTCATACCGTCGCAGACTTTCACCAAACAACTGGGTGCTTTTGTCCGGTGTAGACGTCATCCGGAACCGGCACTGAATTATAGCTTCCATCATTTCCCCCCCTTTTATCACGGCGGGCAACAAGCAAGAACAGTTGAACTTGCATCGGAGGATTTCCTGCGCTTTCTCCTGAGTTTGTGGATGAGTTGGATCCCTTCACTACTAACTATATTGTCGATCTACCTGCCGCCGGATCTTTTGTCACTTACTTCTCCCTGCCCCTACCTCCCTCAGTAGTAGTATTATACTACTCTCACTTGGCTTCCGCTTCCCTTATTACTATTACTTCTTGGATCCATTTCTCTTCCCTCGCCTTTTGACCCGGTGGGGCCCAATCTCCCTGGGAAACTAAATAATAACCCCCGAGACGCGTTCTGATCGGCTGCTGATTATTCCTGCTCCTGCACCGACTTCTCCGGCGACTATTGCGAGCGCAATCGTACTAGTCTCACCCGCTAACCCGTCCATTTCCTCACTACTTGCTGTGTTGGTGCACCGACTTGCAGGCGACGACGACAAGCACCACATCGCGCCGGACGGATAGGAGTTGTTGCTGGCTCTTTTGCCCCCGCAAACAGTCCGCCCCAGACCCTTTGGACCAGAGTCGAGACACTTCCGGCTGGTCGCTAATTTCCACTTGCTTGAACCCCCCCGTTCGCCCTGGTAACCACGGCTGACTTGCTTGACGGCTGGTCTTCCCTAAGCTCCCCAGCACTAAAACGACTACTTCGACTATCTTCTCCGTACTATCCTGTCTTGTCTCCTTCCCCCCCAAAATCTAGATCCGTTCTGATTCGTTCCGGGGTGGTGGATTCAGATCGTTCTCCTTTTTCTCCTCCTATTCTCATTTCTTTTTTTATATCGCGTTTCATGATATATTATCATTCCTTACCCTTATATTCTTAT